GAATTTTCATCTTCCCTAGACATCTGATCATTCTCTCATCCTATATTTTGAAGAGGATTGACCTTTGAGCTAGCTCATTAGTGAGCAAACCTAATCGATTCCTCACACTTATCCTCTCAGTGCAGTTCTTAATAGGACTACTTGCCTTTTTCCTTCGTAGTTGTGGGATCTCGCCTCCTTTTATCATCTTTTCGGTCCTCTCACTTGTCTTTCTAATTCTTTTGAGCTAAGAGAGTATATTCAGCATTCATATATCATTAAGCTATCGCCTAGAGCTCGGCCATAAAGAAGGGTGGTTCTTTGGAAAGGAAAAATAAGAACTGGGAGGGCTGGAGACCTCCCATGAAGGTAGTCAGAGCCACCTTGTTATCAATGTTGTCAATCTGGAATGACTCCATTTTGAAATGGTTTATGTACTCTCGAAGTGTTTCATTTCTAGATTGTTTGACATTGAGAAGATAGGTTGGAGGTCACCCATAAGCCCGGCCTCTGATGAAATGCGAGAAGAAAGAGGTGCTTAACTCCCCAAATGTGTTCATCGAGCCCAACTTTAGCTTGTTGAACCAATGCCTCATTGTCCCCTTGAGTGTGGTAGCGAAGGCTCAACACATGATTTGTTCTGGCACACTATGAAACATCATTAGAGACCTATAAGTCTCGAGATTGTCTAATGGGTCTTTGGTTCCATCAAACTCCTCAATGGTTGGCATCTTGAACCTCTCGGGGAGAAGGTAATTTGCCATATTTTGCGAGAACGGTGACTCAGTGTGTTGAACTAGAGCCTCAATTGCTTCTGGGACCAGAACCTACACTGTATTTATGATGTTTCCTAGCTTTTCGTTTACCTCCCATAACTTCCGCTCTCATCGATCATTATTATGGGGATCGGACACTTCGTTTTCACTCAAGTCATCCCCCTGATTATCTGCGACATGTTCCTTGGTTTGAGGTTGTTCCAGGAGCTCAAAAAACTGCTACTTTTGCTTTCTTTAGATCCTCAATAGCTTTCTCCAACCTTTTAACCTTTGTGGATTCCTTTTTTGGTGAGGGCACGTTTCTTCATCCTGCTGGGTGGGAGTTTGGATGTTCTTGTATCTGATCGACTGTAGGATCCTTGGATGTTCTTCTAATCACCATGGGACTTAGATTTTATTGTTGGAAATCAAGTCGATTCTTACAGACGACACCAACTGTTGATCCCAAAAAATAGCACCATGGTGAAATAATGATCTAGCAGTCACCGGTGAGTTCCTACACAGAAGCTGAGGACTAGAGGGGCTCTAATAGTTGACTATTTCATGATAAAGTCAGTAAATGAATTATAGAGTTGGTGGAGTTTAGCTGGAAGGAGTTACTTACCTGGCGCAAAGCTGCCTCCTTACTTTTATAGGCTAAGCTCCTATTTCCATTGGAGCTTTGTAGCTGTTTTTCAAATTGGGAGGCAAGAAATGTGAAACCTCCTTCCCCAAGTATCTGCAACTAGTTTGAGCTAAAATGGTGGAATATGGGCGAGCGAGTCGGTGAATCGATTTGGGTTCTTGAGCTGCTTCCCCATATCAGATCCAACTCATGTATTTGTCTCGTGATCCCTCCAGGCATGTGATTATGCTTGGCACGGGCTTTACTCTACGCCATATTTAGCTGCATCAATTTCTATTTTACTTTTCTATTTGTAATTTATTACCAAGTTTTGTTCCTGTTATTCACAAATTGATGATTATTACACAAAGTTAGTTTTGATGATCCTATCATCTTATTTGAAATCTAAGTATGTGGAATATTTTGTACATTTCAAGATTAATGGGACCTCTATTAGTTATTTTTGTTATGTCTTTTGTGTTGTTATTTGGTTTCAATTATGAAATTTTCGGTATCATCTGCACTTTGTGGATTATTTATTTTTAAATAATAATTGGCCAACGAGGCAAATCAAATTACTTGTGAATTGTTAAAGGTTCATACTTTTTTCTGGTCGAATTACAGTTCCATGCTTAGTGAATTGATATAGGTGCATACTTTCGGGGACCAATATTTTTTGTCGATGAATTTTTAGGTTTCTTAACAATTAAATATTTGCCACATAATGTGTACCTTCAATGGCAAAATTATTGGTGGTCGCCAAAGCTTTCCAAACAAAGTTACTGTGAGAAATGAGCCACGAAATTTGGTCGTGACAAAAAAGTTTTTGGTGAGAAAATTTTGACTTTTAGGGTCAGACACATTTATGGCCAAATTTTCTTTCTTTCTTTCAGTGGCATAACCATAATAATAACAAGGGTTAATAATATTTTTAGTCTCTAAAATATGTATTATTTGTTAGTTTAACTCCCATTGTATCAATTTTATTAATTTTACCCATAACGGATTCAATCATTTTTTTGGTCCCTAATCAGATAGATCGTTAAGTTTTTGACAGAATGATCACGTGTTGGACATGTGATACTGTCTAAAAAAAGACACGTGATAACTTCTGTCAAAACTTGATAGATTGTCTAATTAGGGAACCGAATTGACATGGATTGAGTATTTTTAGTGACAAAATTAATACAATGAGGACTAAATTAATAAATATATATATTAATGACTAAAAGTGTTATTAACCTTAATAAAAAATAAGGGTGACACCCAACATTGAGGGACAATGGGCAAGGCATGGTCCTAGCATTATGGTGGCAACCAGGAAAAAATATTAATCAGCATATCAAATTGTGCAAGGACAATTTCGCACAAAGAGTAACCACCTCATACAGATGGAGAGGGTGGAGAAGAAGCATCGTGGAACCTGCAAGACAAGAGAACAACTAGGTAAGCCGATGGGCAGAGGCGGCCAAATGGATTTCGATGCTTTAGTCAGATTGCAAGTCAGAAAAAAAGTGTTGAGTGAATAGACTAGAATTCAATTGCATTACCTGATACCTAGACTTTTTATTTATAACAATAGGGAGATGTGTCCTGAAGGAATTTAAACTCTTGGTTGATTGACTCAACCTCATTAGGAGGTCCTATAAGTAAAGGGTAGAGTTTGATTAAAACTTTGGATCCTAACCCCTTATCATTAGATACTAGATATTTGGAGTGGTGTTAAATTAAAACTCGAGGTCCTAGATTAATAGTAGGACTCATTTTTAGTTGCCTTAACGGCCAAGCGCGGAAGCGCAAGGACTTGCCCAAGTCACTTACCAGCTAGAAGTGGCCAGGTGAACAACTTGCCAATTGACAGCGGCTGCCAAGCCACTTGCCGACAAGGCAGTCCACTTGCCGACTGGCAATGGCAAGTCCTATAAGTCCTTGGCAATGGTATTCTGCCAAAAAAAAATGGATTAGGAATGCAGAATATCTACAATCAGTATATATATAGTTATGCGGAATTCCTACACAATTTTTTGCAAAATACCAAAGAACTTTTTATTAGCCTACCCAATTCTTTCAGTAAAGTCGGATATGGTTGGATAGGATCTGAATTTATAAGTAATCGGAAATTTGAACACTTCTACATATTACCTCACCTCTACATATTACCTAATTCTTCTTTAAAAACTTACACTTAACCACCTAACGTAATGGATTGAACTGAAATCGTTTGCTTTTCTGTTCCATTTAGCTGGAAATCGACCACACACGCCTGAAAGTCACGTTAGCACCCTTTCCCATCAGTCTCCACCAAGTAAATGCCCAAAGTGCTCTTCTATACACAATATAAGCCCTAATCCTCCAACAGGAGACGGTGCATTAGAAGACGGTTGAAGAAGAAAGAAAAAAAGAGGGGGAGGAAGAAAGGAAAAGAAACAGAGTAGCAGAAGGCAGATAATATTTTTTTTCGTGATTATCATGTCTACCTCAAGTAGAGTTTGGTGGTGAAAAACTTGATTTGAGGTTGAAACAAGGCATTGCTTCTGTCGTGCAAGAGCAGCCATTGAAGTTGTGGAGTCCGAGAGCAGCAAAAATTTTCTGAACCAGCTGGCACATTTTCACCCCCCAGTTGGCACATTTTTTGAACCAGCAAGCACATTTTCACCCCCTAATTGGTACATTTTCTGAATCAGCAGTTCAATAGTAAACCCATCACCCTCCATTTTGCATGACGAATACAATATTAAAAATAGTAGTCAAAGCAATTGTCTCTGAATTTCTCCTTTGCTGCCTCTTTGTTTGATTCAACATGTTTTGCACAGAGTGGGTGCATTTATATAAACAAGAATATAATAGTCTTTTACATGTGTCTTCTAAGGGAGTTACGAATTTCAATTCAATCCATAAAGTTAGGGGATTAAGTGTAGGTTTTTAAAGATAAAGGAGGAAATATGTAATGTGACTGAATCTCAGTGGGGTAATCTGTAGTTAACCCTTCCAAATTCCTAATCCACTTGCCTTATCGATATACTCCTCTGAATCATGATCTTGAGCAAATCGATCATTTTTCTATCATACCCTAACCTCACTCCTCTTCTTATTCACTTTCTATATCTTGATATGTACAGAGTCTCCAAACTTAAAACATTGTTGGGCTAATACTGTAAGACAATATCATGTGGGTCCTCAACTGCCTCTAGTAAGTATTTCAAATGTTTTAAGAAAGATACATATAAGATTATCCGGAAATTGAAGAGTCATCTAAAGCTGAAAACTTGAATGACAAACCTTATATGACAAACCACAATCAGTACGTCACATTTATTGAATTTGCTTTCATTGCACACTCAAGTCAAATCCATGCTGGAGTAAAACTTATAAAAAGCTAAATGCTCAGTACACCAAATACTTGCATGTTCAAGCAAACATAACTCCATGAAATCACAAACACCAATCAACATCCTCCAGGCTCATATGGGAATGGGATCGATTAACAATGAGCCAACGTAATCTTTCAACATTAGTTCTGGATGTGTGTATCCATCTCCATACTTGTAAAGTACCTCCAGAAATCTTGTCAGGTTGAGAACTCGCATGAGTATAGCCATTGGAACGGGGGTTGGCCTGAGGCATTCCTGATTGATATCCTTCTATGCATTTGCAATCATTTTGTAAAACTCATCAATAACCTCTTCCTTTGACACTCCATAATCCTTCAGATAACATTTAACCCCTGTAGCTACATGCGCCCTCTGATCTTCTTCCTTCAAATTCGAGAGATTTATAGATGAATGTCACAGAGATGTTTTTGACAAATATGTATGTGTGTACATGTATTGGATCATACAATTAAGTGATTTATGTAACTGTTATACCTCATGGCTTGCTATATCGTTAAGGAGCCGCCCAATTATGTTTGCTGCAACAAGAACTTTAGGTTTGCTTTGCATCCATTCAAATGCTTCAACAGTAGCAACTTCTCCCATGCCCAATAAGGATGATAATCCAAGCAACAACTGACCGCCAGTGATCAACCCATTACCCATATACTCATCAAATGTGGCCTCGTATCCTTCATTACACCAGTTGGACTCAATGTCATAGCTCATAACAATTTCTTTAAACTGATGTCAGGAACGACAGTAAAAATCCTTTCCATTGTTCTTTTCCGAAACATACAAAGAAAAAATGAACAAGAGGAGAACCATAAAAAAAAAAATATATATATATATATATATAAACCCTTACTGCTTCTTGTGAATAATAAAGACGGTGCGATATTCCTTGCTTTGCCATTTCCTCCTCTAATTCTTTGTAAAGATTTAAGAGAGTTCTGCAGAGTATTTTCATGTAATCTGGAAGCTTGTCGATTTCCTTCGTATCGAAAAGCAATGGCATTTTAGTTCTCAATCAAATGCAGAAAGAAAAAATAAAAAGAAATTGTTTTCTATTTTCTGGTTGTCTACGCCTACGGTGGAGGGGTGCTTCTTGCATAGAAAGTGAATAATTGATTGTTGAACCATTCATTTGTCTTTCTTATTCACATGCTTATGATATTGGAAGGCGCTAACTACAGAAGAAGCCACAAAATAAACAGTAGGATATTTGGAGCGGCTGATGTCAAATTCCATAATATCTGTCCCTTTCACTAGTTTTTGCAATATATAAATGGCTTTGCTATGAGTCTATGAGAAAAAAAACAAGGGCTTCAAGAAATTATAACCTCTGTATTGCATAAGTGCAAAGTCTGAGTTCTTCACGTAAACCATATGCATCATATGTATCATCCATAACGACTAGCATAGAAAAAATTTTGGTGAAAATTATCCTGCTGAGGGAGTAATGAGGTTCATAATACGTTGCTAAAACCCACATGTAGCTCTCGACCAGTCTGTCCCTTATATAAGGAAGTTTTGATAAAGGTCCAAATCTTTCCACCACCTAAAAGTCAAAAATACAAATATATTAGTTTCCCAAATGCGTAAACCCCCCTCTCTCTCTCTCTCTCTNTAATTAGGGAACCGAATTGACATGGATTGAGTATTTTTAGTGACAAAATTAATACAATGAGGACTAAATTAATAAATATATATATTAATGACTAAAAGTGTTATTAACCTTAATAAAAAATAAGGGTGACACCCAACATTGAGGGACAATGGGCAAGGCATGGTCCTAGCATTATGGTGGCAACCAGGAAAAAATATTAATCAGCATATCAAATTGTGCAAGGACAATTTCGCACAAAGAGTAACCACCTCATACAGATGGAGAGGGTGGAGAAGAAGCATCGTGGAACCTGCAAGACAAGAGAACAACTAGGTAAGCCGATGGGCAGAGGCGGCCAAATGGATTTCGATGCTTAAGTCAGATTGCAAGTCAGAAAAAAAGTGTTGAGTGAATAGACTAGAATTCAATTGCATTACCTGATACCTAGACTTTTTATTTATAACAATAGGGAGATGTGTCCTGAAGGAATTTAAACTCTTGGTTGATTGACTCAACCTCATTAGGAGGTCCTATAAGTAAAGGGTAGAGTTTGATTAAAACTTTGGATCCTAACCCCTTATCATTAGATACTAGATATTTGGAGTGGTGTTAAATTAAAACTCGAGGTCCTAGATTAATAGTAGGACTCATTTTTAGTTGCCTTAACGGCCAAGCGCGGAAGCGCAAGGACTTGCCCAAGTCACTTACCAGCTAGAAGTGGCCAGGTGAACAACTTGCCAATTGACAGCGGCTGCCAAGCCACTTGCCGACAAGGCAGTCCACTTGCCGACTGGCAATGGCAAGTCCTATAAGTCCTTGGCAATGGTATTCTGCCAAAAAAAAATGGATTAGGAATGCAGAATATCTACAATCAGTATATATATAGTTATGCGGAATTCCTACACAATTTTTTGCAAAATACCAAAGAACTTTTTATTAGCCTACCCAATTCTTTCAGTAAAGTCGGATATGGTTGGATAGGATCTGAATTTATAAGTAATCGGAAATTTGAACACTTCTACATATTACCTCACCTCTACATATTACCTAATTCTTCTTTAAAAACTTACACTTAACCACCTAACGTAATGGATTGAACTGAAATCGTTTGCTTTTCTGTTCCATTTAGCTGGAAATCGACCACACACGCCTGAAAGTCACGTTAGCACCCTTTCCCATCAGTCTCCACCAAGTAAATGCCCAAAGTGCTCTTCTATACACAATATAAGCCCTAATCCTCCAACAGGAGACGGTGCATTAGAAGACGGTTGAAGAAGAAAGAAAAAAAGAGGGGGAGGAAGAAAGGAAAAGAAACAGAGTAGCAGAAGGCAGATAATATTTTTTTTCGTGATTATCATGTCTACCTCAAGTAGAGTTTGGTGGTGAAAAACTTGATTTGAGGTTGAAACAAGGCATTGCTTCTGTCGTGCAAGAGCAGCCATTGAAGTTGTGGAGTCCGAGAGCAGCAAAAATTTTCTGAACCAGCTGGCACATTTTCACCCCCCAGTTGGCACATTTTTTGAACCAGCAAGCACATTTTCACCCCCTAATTGGTACATTTTCTGAATCAGCAGTTCAATAGTAAACCCATCACCCTCCATTTTGCATGACGAATACAATATTAAAAATAGTAGTCAAAGCAATTGTCTCTGAATTTCTCCTTTGCTGCCTCTTTGTTTGATTCAACATGTTTTGCACAGAGTGGGTGCATTTATATAAACAAGAATATAATAGTCTTTTACATGTGTCTTCTAAGGGAGTTACGAATTTCAATTCAATCCATAAAGTTAGGGGATTAAGTGTAGGTTTTTAAAGATAAAGGAGGAAATATGTAATGTGACTGAATCTCAGTGGGGTAATCTGTAGTTAACCCTTCCAAATTCCTAATCCACTTGCCTTATCGATATACTCCTCTGAATCATGATCTTGAGCAAATCGATCATTTTTCTATCATACCCTAACCTCACTCCTCTTCTTATTCACTTTCTATATCTTGATATGTACAGAGTCTCCAAACTTAAAACATTGTTGGGCTAATACTGTAAGACAATATCATGTGGGTCCTCAACTGCCTCTAGTAAGTATTTCAAATGTTTTAAGAAAGATACATATAAGATTATCCGGAAATTGAAGAGTCATCTAAAGCTGAAAACTTGAATGACAAACCTTATATGACAAACCACAATCAGTACGTCACATTTATTGAATTTGCTTTCATTGCACACTCAAGTCAAATCCATGCTGGAGTAAAACTTATAAAAAGCTAAATGCTCAGTACACCAAATACTTGCATGTTCAAGCAAACATAACTCCATGAAATCACAAACACCAATCAACATCCTCCAGGCTCATATGGGAATGGGATCGATTAACAATGAGCCAACGTAATCTTTCAACATTAGTTCTGGATGTGTGTATCCATCTCCATACTTGTAAAGTACCTCCAGAAATCTTGTCAGGTTGAGAACTCGCATGAGTATAGCCATTGGAACGGGGGTTGGCCTGAGGCATTCCTGATTGATATCCTTCTATGCATTTGCAATCATTTTGTAAAACTCATCAATAACCTCTTCCTTTGACACTCCATAATCCTTCAGATAACATTTAACCCCTGTAGCTACATGCGCCCTCTGATCTTCTTCCTTCAAATTCGAGAGATTTATAGATGAATGTCACAGAGATGTTTTTGACAAATATGTATGTGTGTACATGTATTGGATCATACAATTAAGTGATTTATGTAACTGTTATACCTCATGGCTTGCTATATCGTTAAGGAGCCGCCCAATTATGTTTGCTGCAACAAGAACTTTAGGTTTGCTTTGCATCCATTCAAATGCTTCAACAGTAGCAACTTCTCCCATGCCCAATAAGGATGATAATCCAAGCAACAACTGACCGCCAGTGATCAACCCATTACCCATATACTCATCAAATGTGGCCTCGTATCCTTCATTACACCAGTTGGACTCAATGTCATAGCTCATAACAATTTCTTTAAACTGATGTCAGGAACGACAGTAAAAATCCTTTCCATTGTTCTTTTCCGAAACATACAAAGAAAAAATGAACAAGAGGAGAACCATAAAAAAAAAAATATATATATATATATATATAAACCCTTACTGCTTCTTGTGAATAATAAAGACGGTGCGATATTCCTTGCTTTGCCATTTCCTCCTCTAATTCTTTGTAAAGATTTAAGAGAGTTCTGCAGAGTATTTTCATGTAATCTGGAAGCTTGTCGATTTCCTTCGTATCGAAAAGCAATGGCATTTTAGTTCTCAATCAAATGCAGAAAGAAAAAATAAAAAGAAATTGTTTTCTATTTTCTGGTTGTCTACGCCTACGGTGGAGGGGTGCTTCTTGCATAGAAAGTGAATAATTGATTGTTGAACCATTCATTTGTCTTTCTTATTCACATGCTTATGATATTGGAAGGCGCTAACTACAGAAGAAGCCACAAAATAAACAGTAGGATATTTGGAGCGGCTGATGTCAAATTCCATAATATCTGTCCCTTTCCCTAGTTTTTGCAATATATAAATGGCTTTGCTATGAGTCTATGAGAAAAAAAACAAGGGCTTCAAGAAATTATAACCTCTGTATTGCATAAGTGCAAAATCTGAGTTCTTCACGTAAACCATATGAATCATATGTATCATCCATAACGACTAGCATAGAAAAAATTTTGGTGAAAATTATCCTGCTGAGGGAGTAATGAGGTTCATAATACGTTGCTAAAACCCACATGTAGCTCTCGACCAGTCTGTCCCTTATATAAGGAAGTTTTGATAAAGGTCCAAATCTTTCCACCACCTAAAAGTCAAAAATACAAATATATTAGTTTCCCAAATGCGTAAACCCCCCTCTCTCTCTCTCTCTCTCTCTCTCCCACTAACCTTTTTTTTTTTGGGATGAACTCACTCACCTTGAGAGGAGGCATAGTTCTTCCTTGTGCAACAATTGTAATAGATTGAAATCTAGCTGTGCAAGCCTCAATAGCATTTCATTCTTAGAAGCATCTTCGTGGTAGATAGAGATGTAATGCCTTGCATCTTCTCTTAGAATGGAAACCCCTTGTGAAGGGGTTGCTTCAGTGCATGCACCACTTCTTTCGCAAGAGTGGGGCTTAAATTGGTCACAATGGACTGAAGGTGAGTGGTTGCAAATACGAGAGCCTCGTCCAAAATATCGTCTCCATGCGTCCTCAAATGTGCAGCTTCATATAAGCTTAGCATACCCATCACATCGGTAGTAGTGGATTCCTGGAATTCTCCATTGCTCTCTCTGAATTTGTTAAAGACATCTGCTTTATAAGTGAAGACATCACATTAGACATCGACCGTATATATGTATAAAAATACATGCAAGCAACAGCAGTATCCATGTAAAATCTATGTTATAATCAACATACCACTTGGCATTTTATAGCCATGTTGTCTGAATATTCTAAAGTGAAGGCCAATGGTTTTCAAATCATAGCCTTCATTATTTTCATGGTCATAGGCAGAAAACATGTTCTCCAATTGGTCTTCAATCTCTTTCTCAAAGTGATAGGAAACACCAAGGCGTTCGAGTGTGTTAATCAAATGCCTTCTCTCCGCTGATTTGCCTCCAGCAGCTACTAGCATGCTCCTCACCTTTTCTTTCAGCACTTCAATTTCGTTAGCATACTAATTATCCCACTCCTGCAACCGCACACCAGGCAACATGCAAGAAAGAAAAGTCCCAAAATAAATTGTCTATTCATATATAAACAGTACAAACCTTGCACTAAACAAAACAATTCCCAAAATATCTTGTCTATTTAATTCCCAAAATATCTTGTCAATTCATAAATAGACAGTACAAGTCTTTCAGTAAACAAAACAAGTCCCAAAATTGGCAGTTGTTTATCGCGCTTTGTCAGCTAGACTGTCTTCCCTGCCAAGTTTGAAGGAAGCAGGAATCAAGCAAATAAGTGTCTTGTATGATAATTTATTTGCTTACTAAACTGTAATAGGTTCTCTGAGAATTCATTGTACTTTTGTCAAATCTGTTTGAGGTGCTTATGTTTAATGTGCACCCCTCACAAATTTGTTTACTTTTGATGCCTCTGCTGCATGTTCTAAGGGGAATATCCCTTTGTTTTGTATATCGTTGTTACTCATCAATGTGATGTTTATTTTCCGGAAGGAAGCAGAAAGTAATGCATGACAATGATCAACCTACCTAGGAGGTTCACGGATTGAAGGGAACAACTTCAAAAAAGCATGGAATGGGTTTCTCTTGCGGAAATTATCCGGGAATCAAATTGGGATCCATATCGACTCCCACACTTAAGCGGGAAAGTAAAAAAATAATTACACAAGACAAATCAATTTACGTGATTAGACCAATAGCATATGCCCACGACTACAACAACAATCGGAATTTTTTATTATAGACTAAAACATGAGTACTTGATAGTATTCTAAATTTTAGTACTCACTCCAACAAAAGATAATTACTTTGATAAATTACTAGTACCATTCACAAATCTAATAACACTAAGATTGGTACTTAATCACACAACAAAAATAAGGGCCTTTGTGACAATTTTTTTACGGCTGCTTTGTTTGTCGTCTCAAAAGATGTATTTGAGACAATTTTTTGTGACGGTTATGTTTGCCGTCACCAAAAACGTGTTTGTGTTAATATTTGTGCCAACTATTTTTTTTGCCATAAATAGTGTCATAAATTCAAAAGAAATTTGTGTATTTGAGACAGCTGTTTTTCCTGCCTCAAATAATATTTTATAGATTCAAAAGAATTTTGTATATTTGTGGCAGTTATTTTTCCGATCGTATATAATATTTCATAAAACATTAAAATGTTGTTTTAAATTAAAAAATCAGTTTATAGTTTAAAGAAGAAAAACTCTAAAAACAATTTGTATTGGCCATAACTATTTTTCATGTTGCAAGTAATATTTTATAAAATTACATAGTTTATCATCAAAAGACAATTTCTAGTTTAAAGAAAAAAAATTAAACTCTATAAAGTCAAGTTTTTATATATCAAAACTAAGAATGTCAAAATATGACACGACTCGTTAACACGACATAAAATTAGTAAGTTTGAGTCTTTCTTAAGCTACCTATTTAGTAAATGAGTGCACCCGTCACGATATAATTATAAACGAATCAAATATTGGTGAAACCAATTAGAAGAAATGCATACAATATAACTCGTTTATATACTATTTACATAATTTGACAAGTCGTTCAGAGAAATATTGTGTGGCCTTCTATTAATATATATTCTAACTTCTTTTAATTCTCTATTGTATATAGGTATATAAATATTATTTCAGTATAGTTACAATAATTTTATATATTTTTTATACGTCATTGAGAGAGTAGATGGTTCGAGAAGGATGTTTAACTTTTTGCATTAATTTCTTATACTTATATATCGTTATGTGTTATAAAAGTGCATATTTTAAATTTTGTTCAACTCGTAAGATTGTTTTTTTTTTTTTTTTGTGACGGCATCGTTGTCGTCATAAATATATCTTTTATTTTTTACGACAGTCAAATATGGTATTTGAGGCAGCACTTTGACCTTGTGATAAAAGCAAAAATGTCGAATTTTTTGTGACAATTTATTTACGACAGGATCTTGCTGCCGTAAATACTATTAGAGACAGACCGTTTCTACCGTAAAATCTTTTAATACCACACTTATTATGACGAGACAATACCGTTACAAAAAATAATTGTGACTATATATAAATTTTTTATGACAGCACTTTATTGCTGTAAAAACCCTTTTTCTTGCAGTGTCACTAAAGACCCTCAATTCCCAATGATCAGATAACTTTGTGTTTTGGATCAAAGGGCTTTATCCTCTTAATGATCAAGAGACCTTTCGCCTCGGATGGTTTGAGCTACTACCTGAACTCTCGTTATATTGGGAACTTCCATGAGGTAGCCAATAAAATGTCAGAAAAATTTCAAACTTGACTTTCAAATTTCAAGTCTTCTGGCCATTTTTCAACAGTTTCTTGATCCAAGTTATTTATATATTCAACATAATTTGTATCTTGGAAAAGAATTTGAAGTAGCTTCACTGTGCAACTCTGGTACATGTTAGAAATATTATCAGCACCCCAGCAATATGGTTGAAGAGACGAGGAAGACCGCACAAGAAGAAGGAGTAGATCACAAAGAGAACAAAGACTATGAAAGGGAGGAAAGCGGGACGGGACTTGTGTAGTCTAATCGCCGTACCTTGAACATTATTGCATTTTTTTTTTCCATTATATAATCTAACACTCACTTATCTACGAAATGAAATGCAACCATAATAAAGAATATGTGTGTGCTTGTGTGTATGGATATGTATTCAAATCAAACCTTTAAAAATAATAATAATTAAATTTTTGGGTTGAATTATTGAGACACTTGATGAATATATGTTATTTTTTTCCCAAAAGACTTTTAACAAACCTTGATCTGCCTCTTTTCTTTGTTAACCGTAGAAAACTATAGATTCATAATAAAGTTAGAATTAATATGGTATTGAAGTTTTCTTTATAGTTCATAATCGATTTCCCTAGGTTTTAATGTTTAATTTCTTATTTATTTTATTAGCAAACATTGGGGCATCATTTAATGGTGAACATAATAAGTATTCACCTGAGGTTAGGCTGTATATGGCCAAAGAAAAAGAAAAAGTTACCCTGTATAGATTTCATGATTGCACTACTCTACGTTACCTGCAGAGGAAAGAACGTGTTCCGTTGGGTCTAGGAGCATTACTTGTTAGATTTTTAAGGCAAGAACATAAAACTGCAACTAACCCAGCAGAGGATGTACTAAAATAAAATGAAATCAAACAACTTAAGCAAGCTGTCTAGACAGCTTTAAAATGCCTTGACAACACAAGAAAAAAGCTCTAATACACCTAATACCCGGAACACAACTTGGAGGTCAAAGCAGTCTTTCAGGGAAAATCGTTTTGGCAGACCTCTCTCTCTCTCTCTCTCTCTCTCTCACACACACACACACACACACACACACTCATTCGCTCACTCACACAACACACACGTGCACCGAAGAGCTTAAATATAGCTATAGCCCAAGAATTTACCTGCTTATCCAAAGAAAATGAACAGAACTGATCACTCCACATGCATGGGAGGAAGTTTCCCATTGGACGAACAATCTCAGGCTGATTAGCCTCTAGCTTACTAACGTCAGAGTCGGCCATTCTGAGATGCTGGATAGGTAACTTGTGCTGAGAATCCTACACAAGGGGCATTTATAGAAGAACTGAAGAAGTGAGCATAACTAAAGCAAGCAAGTAGCCAAGACAGTAAGCGGCAATAGATTGTTACTTGGATATAATTTACTCTTGGTTATTTTTTCCTTGAAGTCAGTTTCTCTTCTTATGGGTTATTGATTGAATCACCAACAACATGCACTTTGTTGGATTTTATTGTTGATCAAGATTGTTGTTGGGATATGCAAAGAGAAAGCAATGAACTTTATGGAGCGTATTGCAAAAATATAAAAATTGCAAAAGTTTTGTTAAAGTCAAGAAACAACTTACTCTTTTTTATTCTATTTTTGTGCATGTTTCTCTCGTTTCCGAATTTTAGTTTGCTTGCATAGTTGCATTGCTCTGAAGTGATAGGTAAAGTTATGCAACTTACGTGAGGAAATGGAGAAAGAATAAAATTTTGAATCTGTGGTTTTGTTTATTGGTCAGTTGAACTAAAGTGACCTNTCATATTTAATTTTTTGACCTAATCATTCATAATTATTGGATTAACGATAGCTTTCATTATTTATTGAGATCTAGAACTAATTTAATGGTTATGATGAATTAGATCAGAATATTATGTCAACAAATTAGATAAACAAATGAAAATGAAGTTCAAGTAGCATTATTGACATAAACAATAAAAAAATTGATCTAATTTTATTAATACCGTAGTTGTTAGGATTTTAACTCTTAGGACTTTTTTTTAAGAAATTCATCATTTGACACATCATTATATCAGTATATTAAGCTAATTTTTATATAATAATACTATGTTGACTAAGATTTTTCATCACATATGATGTGACATATTTTTTATCATCAAATAAGTCATTAATGATGTAAATTGTGTCACATCATTTAAGATAAAAAATTTAGTATGTAACTTGTTAAACATAATATTACTGATTTTTTTATATCCTAATAGCATTACTTCTTATGTAATCTTCTCGACAACACTGTTTTTCGAATTTCATATATCTTTATACGAACGGAATATATTTCATCCACCGTTATGCTGTCACAAACCACACCCATCGATTCACACTGTCACTCACAAAATCAGAGTCACAGTCTCAATCACACAGAAACACACAAATTCACACACACCCACACACACAGATTCACAACCTCACGTACACATAAGCACACAGAAATTCACACGCACAAACGTGCACACAGATTTACTCTTGGTTATTTTTTCCTTGAAGCCAGTTTCTCTTCTTATGGGTTATTGATTGAATCACCAACAACATGCACTTTGTTGGATTTTATTGTCGATCAAGATTGTTGTTGGGATATGCAAAGAGAAAGCAATGAACTTTATGGAGCGTATTGCAAAAATATAAAAATTGCAAAAGTTTTGTTAAAGTCAAGAAACAACTTACTCTTTTTTATTCTATTTTTGTGCATGTTTCTCTCGTTTCCGAATTTTAGTTTGCTTGCATAGTTGCATTGCTCTGAAGTGATAGGTAAAGTTATGCAACTTACGTGAGGAAATGGAGAAAGAATAAAATTTTGAATCTGTGGTTTTGTTTATTGGTCAGTTGAACTAAAGTGACCTAAGTAGTTTTATTGAATTGCTTACTGCCCTTAGAAACCTGGCAGGAACCATGGGCAAAAAACTTTAAAAAAAAAAGTCCAAGGTCATAGAATTGATAGTGTGTTTTTTGTTTTTCCCCGGTCCCATTTTATTGCTAACTTTTTGTCTCTTTCACTCTGTTCTAACCAGCTGGAATGCTCTAACCAGGGATCATTTATTCAAGCATTTGGGCAATGTTTGGAAGTTAGCAGTTCATGCAAAATTATCTAGGTCTCACTTTGAGTAGAACAACCAAGAGGAACTACGCCATGGATAGAGAAAGTGGCATGGAATATGAATCGAATTGGGCAAAACATAGACAATAATTTTTATTTATCGCCTCAATTAATCCGCCCTGCAACATCTTTCGTGCCTTGGTTTTGTTTGTTTGGTGGTTCTTTCTCTAGTTGGTTTTATGGAAAACCTTGTGATTGTAGGTTTTGGGTATTTCTAAGATTTAACTTTGAATTAATGGCGTGTGATCGATTATTTGTTTGAATAGATAAATTTTGGTTTCTTTATACAATTTTTGTGGTTCAAAGGGGGTTTGGATGTTATTTTGTTAAATTCTCCTCTTTTTTTTTTTTTTGGATTTTCTATTGAGATTTTTCCTTTTTTTTGTGTTGGTTGCTTAAATTGTTGTTTTGAATTGTTTTAGTTGAATATCAATCTTTTTTGTACACTTAAAATTTTAACGCTTGGATTAATGTTGAATTAATGGGTTGATGGTGGTTTTATTTCAAAACTAATTGTTATGGAGTAATTTTGGGGTTGTCACAAAGAAATCTGCGCACTGGCCACGTCTCTTCCAATTGTAGGTGTTGTTCTTGAAGTGATGCTCTATGTTCTTGGGTATTCGGTGAGCATATATCAGTTCAACTATACATAGGGTTATGATGAAATTTTTTTGTCGGTATAAGCATTTACTGCCATCATTGCTTCAGTAATGTCACTGTTGTGAATTTTGGTTGCCAAGCAACTACTCTCTCTCTCTCTCTCATATTTGATTATCTTGGTATTTCTCAGAGTTATCATGTAATATTCAATCTTTGGTGTTACGGGTGATTTTTAAAATCCGTTATTGTTACTCAATCTTGCATAGCATATTTTTGTGATGTGTGTATTTGGGTGTGGTGAAGAGTTTGAAATTTAGTCCCTAAATATTTTTTCTGTCCATTTCATGCATGAGACCGTTAATTTGATACAATTACGGTTGTCGATTTGTTGGGTTGAAGTTGTTAATTTGATTAAATTAGGTTTGGTTTTAAATTAGTTGAAAAGTTTAAGTTTGGGTCCAATGAAACTTTGATTTGGGTTGAATGGATACGTTTTTCGAAGTATTGTTGTTGTAATATGTGATTAAAATGGTAGCTCGAGTTTTGGGCAGTACAATTGCTCATTGGCTTTTGTCGATAGTAGGCGTAGATTGTTTTCAAAATATGTAGTTAACAAAAATGAAGCATAATTACATTGTGACTTAAAATACCTATATTAAATTGTCAATTTTTAAATTATTTGTGTTACACAATGTCTTTAGGCACAGTTTATTGATAGTATATTAATAATTATCAAGGATCACTTAAATAATATAATATAACTTTAATACTATGAAGCACGGATATTTCGTTGGAATCAATGTATCCGTATCGGATATTTTATCGGATACAATACTCGTCGGATACTCGAGGATACATCTCTTACGTATTCGATAATAATTAAATATTAGCATACTTTATGAATATTTTTGTATTCAAGCAATGTATATAATTTTTGAATTGAATTTTTAACATTTCCTTTCGAATTCACATACCATACAATATATGTACAAAAATTCATACTACTTCAAAGGCACATGAGTATTTTTTAAATATTATCTACAATTACATGTCAAAAAGGCATAAAATTAATCTATTGCATTATAGTTTTTGCAAAAATCACTTCTAAATAAACCAAATCGGTAAATATTAGCTTTGATTTCTTTAATTAATTACTTCACTTTGTAAATATATCATAATGATGCAATATATATTTTCTTCAAACTAAAAAGAATTATAAATTTTTTTTATTGTGTTAAAGAACTACCAAAATATATAAGAATTATCTTGATTGAAAATAATAAAAATATTAAATATATTTTATTATAGTCTTATCTTGACCGTACCCGTATCCTTATTTTTTAGATTTTGCCATATCGCCGTATCCGTATCGTATCATACCCGTATCCGTGCTTCATAGCTTTAATTCTATTAGAATATAATTTGGAGACATAATACANCTTGAAGTGATGCTCTATGTTCTTGGGTATTCGGTGAGCATATATCAGTTCAACTATTCATAGGGTTATGATGAAATTTTTTTGTCGGTATAAGCATTTACTGCCATCATTGCTTCAGTAATGTCACTGTTGTGAATNACAACTAGGCTGAATTGTATCCGAGTCAATCCCGAGTTACCGAGATATCGTTACCGAATCGACCGATACAATTTTGTCATGCCGTGATATATCTTGAATCTATCGTCATATTAAAAAAAAAATTAGGTCGTATCGCCCAATACCACACCGTGTCGTCGCAACCGATATATCTCAAACCTCTTCGAGTCGACGACCAATCCTGCAACATTAAACCATGAAATTGACCATAGATTATTTGACAATGAATACTTGATCTTGTTAACGTCACTCTGTATTATTTGATACCCAAGGCATATTACATATTCTTCCTAATGCATAATTTGTAGTCAGTTTTGGACTTTCGTTTATTTTCCTAGTTAATTTGGACATCGGTCACATCGTAATCTTATCAGGTCCCAATCGTAATCTTATTGGGTTCCATCGTAATCTTGTCGAGTTCCAATCATAATCTTATCAGGTACCAATCGTAATTTTCATGCTCATGATACAAATGGAAATTTAAATACTCATTAAAATCGTAATCTTACCCTCATAATATATAATTCTTGAAAAATTTAAATATTTTAATGAATAAAGTCTATTTGTATTCTTTTAAACGTGGAAAAAAGTTATAGAGTGAAGATAAGAGATACACTCGACATCGATAGTAAATTTGTGAATTAAAAAAGGGCAATGTTATTGTAATTTAATTTACAGACATAATTTATTATAATTTTTGGATTGACTGTTAGTCCCACAAAATAGTGAAACTTCATATTAATTAAATAGTTACAATGAAATTACATCATTAGGTCAACAGATTAAATCAAATTTTAAATTTCAATATAATTACTCATTAAAAAAAGTTTGGTACCAACAAAAAGGTTAGAGGATGGTTGAATCTACAAATTAAAATGTGCCCGGCTAGCGACTAGTTTAATTTTGTTCATCAGACACAATTATTAAGTGACT